ATAAAACACTGAATCATAAATAATAGCGGACTTGTATTTATTTTGCTTTCTCATACTGAATGAATAATCTTTAAATTTTTAAGGAAAGGGAGACAGTACTTCATAGATTCAAACCATAGCAGGTATTTTTCTTTTCTTGAAACTTTATATGTGTTGATGTATTGAGTAGCCGGTAAATGTGAAATTATATGTGTGCTGCCATTTATCAAAAGATTATTTGTTTCTCACTTTGAGGACAATTAATAGCAGTGGCCTTGTTAAACTTCCTGCCTTAGTATTGATCAATAAGCACTCATTCCAGAAAGCTGTGCTTCTGAAAGGTTTAGCATTAAATAAAAAGCCGACATTTCAAAGATTGACTTTCATGCCCAATCAAGAATGTAACCATCTTACATTTAAATCCTTTAGCATTCGTGTATTTTGTCTACATTTTTATGCCAAAGTAGTACATTTCGTGAGGCTGCCAGCAAGCAGAAGAGAACAGTTTAAGGACCTATTCTCACTTTGTTTGGTTCTACCCGTATTTATACTGTCAGCACCTTCTTTTTCTGGTTTCAGTGATCAGCGTTTACCATAACTCTATAGGTAGCACTTGTAGAATGAGATTTTGAAGTGGGGCAGAAACCAAAGAGGATATATGCAATGCATACAGAAAGGGTATATATCCTCACACCAGCTCCAGTTGTTCCTTTGTGTACTTTACACACAGGCTTGATGGTTCAACAGTGGCTTGTGGAGAGCACGAACTTGTTGTTTTTACGTATGTTGAACTCTTTTATATTCTGAGCAAGATGAGAGATGCGTTCTTGTGGTGCAGCGACCCTGAAGATGAGAAAAATTTGAAAGAGCAAAAGCTTAATCCCTGTTCATGTTTTGATATAAAGTAGATATATTAAATAGTAGATTTAGTATGTAAGCAGAACTAGTAGGAAGAAGCAAAACAATTGAGTACTTTAAAGAAGTTTTTTGCTTTATTTTATAGAAAAAAACATGACAACAGTCTATTAAGACTTTATAAAGTTCTGGTGCAGCAAGAAAGGAGTGTTACCGTATCATTTCTTGCAGTAATAAATTTAAATGGTCTGGTTGTTATTAGAATGCTGATCAGGAAGGAAACAGAAGTCTGTCCTTTTTTCATAAAAAGGTATAAAAAAGGTTACACACTTCAAAATGCAGAAAAGACAGAAATTAAAAGCTTAAATAACTGCAAACAGCAGGGTACGTCAGTAATGGAAGGACTTCTTAAATGACTTTGACAGCTTTTGCAGGTGCATGTACTATGTCACTTTGCCTAGTGAAGCATTGAAAAAGATTTATGGCTCTCCTTTTGGAATTTATTAAGAGTTTCTTTCTTTCTTTTTCTTTCTTTGCAAAGTAGTCTGGACATACCCCTCCCTTGCAGTCATTTATATTACAGCTCCTAGAGGAAAGTTACCTATTCAAAAACATGTGTTGCTTGTTGTCTCCATGCCTAGCTCACAGAGCTGTAAACTCTGGAGAATGTTGTTATTTACAGCCAGATATTTTCCTTTCCTTCCCCTTTTGCTTTTTCTTTGTATGTAAATCCCATTTTATTTGGTTTAGTCCTTGAAGGTCTTCCTGTATGATTTTGTGCCCCTAAACATTTAAATTGGTAGCAAAAATATTTTTTCAAAGAGAGAGTCTGACCATCAGGAACTAGAAGTTTTTGCTTTGGGATTTTTTTTTTTTTATTTTTAATGTTTATCAACACATGCTCTGTTATGTTCCTTTATATAATGTTATTCTTGCTTTCACTAACACACATGCATAATACTGTTTGTAGATGCTCTGAGGGGCCACTGCTATGCCTGTGGTGTTTGTTGATTCTAATTAATTTTATTCAGTTCCTGTTTCTGAAAGGAACAGCTTTCCCACTTTC